CAGATTAACCTTTTGATCTGTCATCTATGTTATATTACAAATAAAATATAGACATTTGCCATCTCCACATCATTGCATTCAGTTTTTATTCACAATTTGTTTAGTGTCCCAACTTTTTTTGGAATCCGGTTTGTATTTTAAAACGCTGAATTAGAAATAGACCCGTTTAAACCGTCATGTTGGCAGAGCTAGCTGCAGTTAAAACACAACTAGCAATTTAACATGTTTCATTAACTAAAATTGGCGACATGAATTATTAATGTTGATAAATTGTGGTACAGAACAGTCAGAAAACGCTTCACAATGGCAAAAAACTGTCGTATTTTCATCAACTTACTGGAGAAAACACGGAGAATGAACTACGTTCAGTGCTGAACCGCTGCTGTTTGGAACTATTTGCCGCTGCATGACCCACGTGACTTGCGCATTCCATTCTTTCTATGGGAGTCTATGGGAGTGTCGCAACTCTCTCTTTATAGGGCTCTGGCTTGGACCCCTTGAGAAGCAGGGCCAGAATTTAGGGAGGCGAGCCAGTCCCAAGAACCATGGAAAAGACCACAAACGCACGTCAAGCCGGAAATATCCAACCCGCGCCGTGACAGTGGAAAAGGGGCACTGTACCGGTAATTACAGGCCCAAACCCGAAAAAAAAAAACCTTTCTCTTTTTTTAATTAAGCAAATCAGTTTGACATGATATTTTAAAAATGTATTTCAAAGAAAGGAAGTTATACAATTTTTTGTTTATTAACAAGTCACCAAATGGATATTTACATACAAAGCAAATAGCCTACAAATCACCTCTAAAGATAGGCTATTATACAGATGAACAAAAATATTTTTAGAGCAAATTTATTTTGAAAAATATAGAACAAGCCTATTTTAATTGAACGTGCTGCTCGCTTCGGCTTTTGCCTCAGATACTGCAACTTCTTCCACCTCAGATGAGAGCAGGGTGCGGAGTGGGACGCACCAGTCTACGTCATTTACGCAGAATGCATAGCAACGCAAAGAAAATGGCGATGTTGGTGTGTCAATATATATTTTTTATTATAAAAACTAAACAGCCTACAGTATTTTTACAGTCTCCTTTTGATAGCTGAAGTAATTGTTTATCAAATAAGGCCTATTGTTCAAACTAGTTGGAAATCCCTTTAGCTTCTGGAGCCAACTTGATTCAAGATGGCCGCCACATGGCTTGGCCTGTTTTCTTTCATGTAAACAAGTGATGAGTTGCTGCGATCACAATCAGAAGAAGATCTTAGTGGAGGCATCATGTGGACTTGACTCCTGGGTGGGGAGGGAGTCGAGAAGCAGCGGAGCAGGACTGGCGTGGGTTTGTGTCTGTTGATTGACAGGCGCGCTGAGTGGCAGGATGATGACATCATCAGCAGACTCACAGGTGGCAGCTTCCTCTCTGTGAGAGTGGGGATTAACTGAAGTATGGAGGAGCTGTTTACTGAAGAACCCTGGAAATGTGCCAGAGAGCTCCTCATTGTGTATTTGTGTGTATAAGTGTGTCTCTGATGGAAGTGTAGCCCCTCTCTCTGTGGTTACTGCTTGCACAACAACAAAGCTGCCTTCTCCTCACATCTCACAGGAGTCAGGAGGAGAGAAGCAATGTGGAAGGGGTCACTGGGTTCTGCTCCTCTGGGCTTGTGGACTCATGTCTGGGGTCAGCAAATTTTGCTGATAAGATTGCTGATGTGACAAAACTGGAGCTGGACTAATTATTAACAATTAATGTGTTCCACAGATCAGCAGTGATGTCCCCCATAATGAGGAGGACATTGTCTATGGGCAGTGGAGTGTTCAGGTTAACGTGCGTGTGTGTGGGTGTAAGCTTGAACTTCAGTGTTCCCAGAGCACCTGTACATTCTGCACTGCTGACTACACCAGGATTCACATGTCTGAAGTGCTTGTTTCATCTTGTCAAACTAAAGGCCTAAATGAAGGCCTTGAAGGAATGCATACCGTCTGCCACCTTCCACCCCAGATTGAAACTATGATCATTTTATGCCGAGGACTAACAAAGTTTTAGCCTTTTATGGTCAAAACTTATGTGTAAAGTTCAGTGCCTTTACAGGTGCTGGTCATAAAATTAGAATATCATGAAAAAGTTGACTTATTTCAGTAATTCCATTAAAAAAGTGAAACTTGTATATAATATTAATTCATTACACACGGACTGATATATTTCAAATGTTTATTTCGTTTAATGTTTATGATTATAACTGTCAACTAATGAAAACCCCAAATTCAGTATCTCAGAAAATTAGAGTATTACTTAAGACCAATAAAAAATAATTTTTAGAAATGTTGGCCAACTGAAAAGTATGAACATGAAAAGTATGAACATGAAAAGTATGAGCATGTGCAGGACTCAGTACTTAGTTGTTGCTCCTTTTGCCTGGATTACTGCATTACTGTTATGAGAGCTCAGGTTGCTCTGATAGTGGCCTTCAGCTCTTCTGAATTGTTGGGTCTGGTGTATTGCATCTTCCTCTTCACAATACCCCATAGATTTTCTATGGGGTTAAGGTCAGGTGAGTTTGCTGGCCAGTTAAGAACAGGGATACCATGGTCCTTAAACCAGGTACTGGTAGCTTTGGCACTGTGTGCAGTTGCCAAGTCCTGTTGGAAAATGAAATCTGCATCTCCATAAAGTTGGTCAGCAGCAGGAAGCATGAAGTGCTCTAAAACTTCCTGGTAGATGGCTTTGTGGACCTTGGTCCTCAGAAAACACAGTGGACCAACACCAGCAGATGACATGGCCCCCCAAACCATCAGTGGCTGTGGAAACTTGACACTGGACCGCAATCAACGTGGATTCTGTGTCTCTCCTCTCTTCCTCCAGACTCTGGAGCCTTGGTTTCCAAAGGAAATGCAAATTTTACTTTAATCAGAGAACATAACTTTGGATCACTCAGCAGCAGTCCAGTCCTTGTTGGCTTAAGCCCAGGCGAGACGTTTCTGACTTCTCTTGTTCAAGAGTGTCTTGACACAAGGAATGCGACAGCTGAAACCCATGTCTTGCATACGTCTGTGCGTGATGGTTCTTGAAGCACTGAATCCAACTGCAGTCCACTCTGTGAATCTCCCCCACATTTTGGAATGGGTTTTGTTTCACAATCCTCTCCAGGGTGCGGTTATCCCTATTGCTTGTACACTTTTTTCTACCACATATTTTCCTTCTCTTTCCCTCTATTAATGTGCTTGGACACAGAGCTCTGTGAACAGCCAGTGTATTAAGCAATGACCTTTTTGTCTTGCCCTCTTTGTGCAAGGTGTCAACGGTCGTCTTTTGGACAACTGTCAAGTCATCAGCCTTCCCCATGATTGTGTAGCCTACAGAACTAGACTGAGTGACCATTTAAAGGCCTTTGCAGGTTTTTTTGTGTTAATTAGCTGATTAGAGTGGCACCAGGTTCTTCAATATTGAAACTTTTCACAGTATTCTAATTTTCTGAGATACTCAATTTGGGGTTTTCATTAATTGTCAGTTATAACCATCAACATTAAAAGAAATAAACATTTGATATATATCAGTCTGTGTGTGATACTGACTATAATAAACAAGTTTCATTTTTTGAATGGAATTACTGAAATAAATCAACTTTTTCATGATATTCTAATTTTATGACCAGAACCTGTACATGCTACGCCAACAGCTTGCCTGCAACCAATTAGAGCTCAAGTCAGAGATGATTCTCAGCTACTACCACACCAAATTTGAGCTCAACATCTATTAAAATGATTGACATATAGCCATTTATGTGTTGGCTGAAGTCTATTAGCTGTGGTGGCCATCTTAAATTGGGTTGCCTACAATAGTTAATCAGCTAGCTGAGTGGCCACAGGCCAAAAGTGGCTTATTTTCCAAGTTTAATGCTCACAGAGTACTTAAAACTTGTATTTTCCATTTCTGGTTAGTTTAAGCCTGTTTGTACAAAAATTGGAGCACTGTAATTATCTTATTGCTTGTCACTGTCACTGTTATTGACTTGAGAAGGATGGTACCTCCAATAATTTATGGACAAATTCTAAATACCGGCATCACTTTTTTGGTTATCTACAGTACCAAGAGTATCTAAATAACATATTTCTGTCTTAAAGTATCCATAATATATTAGCATTAAGGTTTATTTAATAAAAATTATTGAACGTAATTAGAAATATTTAAAGACATGGCTGAAGTAGTTTAAAAACTAGCCTGTTTCACAGAGTAGTAGTATCATAGTAGATGGTCATCCTGGGGATATTTTTTTGAGAGTTTCAAAATACAGTACCTGCCCAGGGGTTCATGAGATTTTTTGCTAAAAGACAGACAGGGTTGACTCCAAGAGTTAATCTTGAAGTTTTAATCAAAAATCTTGAGCAATGTATCGAGCATGGAGTCTTAAGGATGTTTTTAAACTACTTTCACACCAAAGTTTAGCTCAATATCTGTTAAAACGATTGACTCTTCACCATTTTTGTGTTGGCTGAGTTCAATTAGCTGTGGCAGCCCTTATGAATCAAGTCGACTCCAGTAAGTTGTAGATCTAATGATGACTTACTGAGTTTTATAAAAATCCGTTCACCTGTTCATGACATAAATCAACACACATTATTCATTAAAACTAATGATCTGATGATGCTTGGCTCATTTCTTTAGGTGTGTTTGAAAGCCTGATAAAAACTACAATGTGAGAATATTTGAGCCAAAACCAATCTGCCTGACATTTACCACTAGATGTCAGATTTCTCTCAGTCCTGCTCTGACACTCAGGCTCCACTTCTGGATCATGATCTGAACCAGGAAAAATAAGAGCAAACATCAATCATTAGCAAATCCACCACCAGCTTTATTAACTAATCAATCACTGATGCATCATGAACTCACAGCTTTGTGTTATTGATTGACTGTGTTGTCACGAGTTAATCTCAGACGGGATTAAGTTCTGCTCTGGACACCCCCCAGAGCTGAAGTCATATTTAAAGATGGCTCCCTCCTCTGATTGAGGCTTCACTTGATTAAAGGTGGGGGGGTCACACAAAACTGACTGAGACAAGGTAAGAGGTTATCTGCATCTTTACAAACAGATTAGTGATAAAGGTCTAGAAACCAGAATAATTATTACACAGTTTGTTGCTAAATACGCATAAAATCTGTTTGGATTACACAAACATTAAAGAAGTAACGTGTTAAATGAAACAACAATGTATTTTTTACTCAAAAATATTGATTTCTTATTTTACATTTATGTTGTTTCAAAGCTTTTTATTTCTGTAGGGCAAAAACATCATACTGTATATCTACTGTTTCTTTTTAAATGTTCCTGAATAATTTTCATCCTTTTGCATAAATAAACTCCACAGGTCACTCTTTATGTTTGCCTGTGGTTTTATAGATGTAATGTTATGGTGTCTAAAAGAGCTCTGAATATACCTGAAAATAAATACTTTTTCATATATGCTGTCATGTTAATTAACTCCAAAACCTTTTTAATCGACCTTTTTGAAATCATTTAAAGTTGAAGATTGTTACACTCAAAAAGCCTAAATATTTTTTAATTGTTGCTTCCTCTTTAAAAAAAATACATTTTGTGAAACTTGTTTTCATATTTTTAAACGTTAACTCAAGTTCTTATTTTAGTGTAGAAGTGTGAATGCTGACTCAGCATTCAGTGATGCTTTCCTGTTTTTTATTGTTACATGTGTTTTTGTTTATTTGTTTGTTTTGTTTCTTTACATTTAGTTGCAGTATTTCTTCATACTTGTGCTGTTTTAGTCAAAATGTTCATCTCATTCAGGAGCTGGCATCTTTGATTTGAGTTTTTTTTTTAATTATATATTTTTTTTTAAGTGTTTTGCTTTTCAAATTATATATCCATCCATCCATCCATCCATCCATTTTCTTTACCTGTTTATTCCATTTTGGGTCACTGGGGTCGCTGGTGCCCATGTCCAACAATCACTGTGCGAGGGGCGGGGTACACCCTGGACGGGTCGCAGGTCCATCACAGGGACACATAGAGACAAACGAGACAAACAACCATTCACTCTCTCACTCACACCTAGGGACAATTTAGAGTTACCAATCAGCCTAACATGCATGTTTTTGGTCTGTGGGAGGAAACCGGAGTACCCGGAGAAAACCCACGCATGCACGGAGAGAACATGCAAACTCCACCCAGAAAGGCCCCTGGACCGGGGTTTGAACCAGGGACCTGCTCACTGAGAGGCAGCAGCTCTACCAGTTGCGCCACCGTGCGGCCCTCAAATTATATAACTTTATTTAAAATATTATCATAAAATATGGTAAGATCACTTTCATTTACCATAGTTCTCATTAAAATCAGTTTCAGCACACAGTCCTCGATTTTTGTCCTATTTTGCTAATTGCAGCTACCAGCTACTGTTCCACTACATTTTTTTAACTACACTTGCTTTTTTTGTTTGTTTTTATCTAGCATTGGTTGTGTTTAGCTACTGTTCAGCTACTTTTAGCTTTTAGCAAGTCCTTTGATTCTTTTAGCTAATATTTGGCCACTTTTGGCTGGTCTTCTCGTACTTTTATATTTTACCTATCCTTTTTACTGTTTTATCTTTTAGCTAGCCTTTGATATTTTTAGCTGGCCTTTTTCTACTTTTATATTTTAGCTAAACTTTTGCTGCATTTATTTAGCACTTTGCTAATTTTAATTTGTAGCTTTGTTATTTTAGCTTTTAGCTAGGCTTAGATACTGGTAGCTAGTCTAGCTACATTTAGCTAAATCTTGCTACTTTTAGCGTCTGCTTTTATTTTTAGCTAACATTTTGCTGCTTTTATTCTTTAGGCACTTTCAAGTTTTATTTAGCTGTTTGCAATATTTTACTTTCAGCTAGCCTTTCTTTACTTTTAACTTGTCTTTTGCTACTTTTAGTAAGCCTGAAGACTTTTAGCTATAGGATTTAGCTTCTTTTAACTTTTAACTACTGCTTTGCTTCCTTTAGCTTTAAGCTAGTGCTCAGCTTCTTCACGCTTTAGCCACTCGGGTTCAGGTAAGTCAGCTTCTCAGCGTTCACACTATGATCGCCCAGAAAACGCATTTCCTCTCGTCTGTAACTTTTTTTTAAATTTTAAATATATGGCACGCAATTTTGTGAAGCGTCACATGCTGAAGTGCCCCTGGGCAAGACACTGAACCCCTCACTGCCTCTGATGTGTGTCCCATCGGTGCATGAATGTGATAAAGCTCTGATTAGTCTTTGTATAGATCTAGTAGAGTGCTGTATGAATGGGTAAATAAGGGCACAGATTGTGTTGTAAAGAACTTTGAGTATCTTGATAAAATAGAAAGGTGCTGTATAAGTACAGTCCATTTAAATAATTTATTTTGTTTTGTTCTGATCGGCCCACAGATGTAGCTAAGGTCCGTCAGAATTATGTGTCCATCAAACCAAACTGCAACAGCTACCCTTCAGTAAAACCGGTCTGAATGTGAAACTAATTTCAAACCGGATCAACAGCCTGCGAGGAGCACCGTCCAGCAAACAGATCACCGGGTTTGAGCAGAACTTTCTGCACGTGGACCAGCAGCAGCAAGGTTGGGTTTCTTCAGCTGGGCTCTGTAGAAGCTGCTTCACTCAGACGTACAGATGAGAAGCTGCAGGAGGAGGCTGCACACGGTCCTAATGATGCACCCTCTGTAATGACTGTCATTTCAGCTGCTGTAATTACTTCCATCCTCTCTGCTTTTAAGCAACACATTAGTATTCCCTATTTCACTGAAGTCTTTAAAACGGCAAAGTGAATGACGTACAATGGGGGTGGGGGGGAAGCAGACACTTTAAAGAGAGCAAACCTTTTGAATGGAGCCCCAGCTCTTTGATTTCTTACTGATCCTGACTACCCTTTCATTTGTTGGGAGTTGAGGTGCAATCTCACCTCGAATCCAAGATAGCTGCACTTCTCAGTAACAAGGCAAGCTTTTCCTGCTCTAAACTGCTCACGTGTCGCGTAGCTCTGAGGCATGAGCTCATATACTGACTCGATGGCCTCCGCTGGCCTCGTTTTCCTGCTGCAGGTGGCTGATAAACGCGTTCGCTCTCATCTGTTACCTCCACGGACGTGTCATCCGGTGATTTTAATGACTCCACACAGCTCTCAGAGCTTCTTATGTCCTCCTGCTGCTCGAGCTCGAGACCTCTGGACACAGCGGAGTTACACTTCAGAGAATATTTGGATTTATTTATTCATATTTGTTGTTTCTTTAAAAGAAAATCAGATTCTGTGTGTGTTTAAATGGATTCAAATACACAGATGGTAAATTTACATATTTTGTAATATGAAAAACCTGAAACATAATAAAAAAAAGAGAAATTTCCACATAGATTTATATAAAAAGTGTTAAAATAACAAATTTTACTAACATTTATTTTTAATTTCTTATAAAACTGATAAATTACATTTTTATTTTATGTAGGTTTCTAAAATTTGGAATGGAATGAAAGTACCATTCTTATAAGGAATATCGGTACTTGTCAGTCAAGCAAAGAAGTTGCCCTCACAGTATAGGTTAGGGATGACTCTCAGCTACTGCCACAACACGTTTTAGCTCTGTATCTGTAAAACTGACAAGAGTTGGAGCTGTTAATGTGGCGGCCATCTTGAATCGAGTTGTTCAGTTGTAGATGTGCAGCTTGTGTTTCTGAGAGTTTTAAAATGTGTCCTCCAGTTCCTGAGACATTTTGTCTGCACATAAAAACACACCAGCACTCAGGATGTTACATGATTGCCCACCACCATATAAAAATTGGTAATTTGCAAATTACATTATATTGATATAATGTAGTTATTTTTCACCAAAGTTCATGCTCAATGATCCAGGTAAAAAAAATACAACAAAGTTCAGTCAGGCCATCTGGATGGTTTTGTTTTTGTTGAAACATTTCATCCTTCATCCAAAGGACTTCATCAGTTCGAGGAGCCACAAACAAACTCAGTCCTACAAGCAGCACACTCACAATGTAGACCAACCAGTTTGCTGGTGATAAGATGGTTTCTGGGTCCCATCCTTTACCCCGTTGACTCCTCTGAGACAGCCATGGCCAAAGTGGCTCAAAACAAAGGTCATGCTCAATAATCTAGATAAAAAAAAATCCAACAAAGTTCAGTCAGCTGATGTTAGCTGCCACCGAGGATTCGACAGGGTAGGGGGCGGGCCCCAGAAACCATCTTATCACCATCAAACTGGTTGGTCTATAATGTAAGTGTGCTGCTTGTAGGACCGAGTTTGTTTGTGGCTCCTCGGACTGATGAAGTCCTTATGATGAAGGACAAAACGTCTCAACAAAAATTAAACCGTCCAGAGGACCTGATTGAACTTTGTTGAATAGTTAATTTTCCTTTTTTATTTTTTGCGCCTTAACTCCAAGAATTTGAGGCCTCTGTTTTAAAACTGTAGCTTGTGTGTTGTTTTGACCCAAGGGCAGCAGCAGGGTTGAATATTTAATCTTTTCCTTCTGTTTTAGAGCACACAGAGACAATGTTGACGCCCGTCTCTGTTTTCAGGGTTGAAGATGCACGCTGCTCAGACTCCCTCACCGCCTACTGTCCTTCAGGAAGAGGACAGAGAGTCTGGCATCGGATCCACCCTTGACCTCTTGAGCAGCTCGGAGGGCTACAGCTATCACACCAACCGCCACTCCACCCCCCCTTGGAAAAAAGAGGCAGGCGGCGCCCCCAGAGAACAAGGTACGAGGCAGAATCAGGCTTTCATCTCTCTATGTGGCAGCCGGTTTGATTTCCCTGAAAAGGAAAAGTGACAATAGCAGAAGCTGCATGCGTATTAGAAAAAGAACCTGCTCAAAGGAGACACGATGCCACCGCAGAGGATCATGTGGTCCCGCTGATCCTCCGCGGTGTTTGGCTGCATGGGTAATGCAGTATCAGAGGGCTTTGTTCTCCGCATGTGAGAGCTAAACGAGGACATCTTTCATCTCCAGAAAGCAGAAATCACAGAATAAACAAAAAAAGAACCCAGCACCTTAAAACAGACCAAATTTTTATGTTTTGTGTGAAAATAGGCCAAAGTTGTTTTATTTCTTTAAATCCAGTTCATTTTCCTGGTGTTTGTTTCCAACAGAAGGCTCTCCTCAGGCTTCAGCGGAGGGCCTAGAGAAGCTCAAGCAGCTCGTCGTCAGTCTATCAAAGATCCCTCTTCTTTTCCTCCTCCTCTTCCTCTTCATTTGCTCCTTGGACACTCTGAGCTCTGCCTTCCAGTTAGCGGGGGGTAAGTAACACCCCCACTGGCTCCTCAGCAGGTCGACGCTGACTCGTTTAGTTGATGCTTCGCAATAAAAAAGGAAAGTCAGTGAGGAACTGTTTACTGTCCTTTTGCGTCTGAAAGTAAACAGTCAGCTTGTTTTCTGTATTCTGATCATCTCTGAAGCTGTTTACCTCATGCGCGTGCACATGTTTGTGCATATCTGACCAGGGAAAGTAGCAGGAGACATCTTCCAGGACAACGCGGTGCTGTCCAACCCGGTGGCAGGCCTGGTGGTGGGGATCCTGGTGACTGTGCTGGTCCAGAGCTCCTCAACCTCCACCTCCATCATCGTCAGTCTGGTGGCCTCAGGATGTGAGTAGGTGCAAAAATACCTCCCTCATAAATATGTATGCACCAGCATATGAGGTTTGGATTAAAGTCTAAACAAGATTTCAAAATTATATATTGTATCCTAAAATTGATGTTTTCTGTGTTTACAGCATCACATGCCTCTCTGCAGGCTATTGTTATGTATGCATGGATATTTTAATAAACACAAATAAAAACAGAGAACATAAATCTCCCATGATGCATTGTTGACAAATCCAAAGGTTTAGGGTTAGAAAGTGTAAAGCTTTTGGAGTGGTTGTGAACAATTAATATATTACCTGCTGTAGATATCTTTATCAGTCTCAGTCGGGGAAATAGTTTATTTCTGACCGCGCTGACAAACTTTAGCTATAGCAGTCCATCAGTTTAACACATCTCCAGATTATGCAAATTCTGTTTTATGAACCTTTACTTCACCGTCAATCACCAGCAACATTTTTGTGGCTATTTATTAACAAAAAGGATGAAAAAAGGATAAGTGATGCAGAATGGACAGACAAAAGAGTAACAGAGTACGGGAATCTGCAGAAGTTGAGGTGGAAGTAAAACGCTAAACGAAGTATATATGCACACGCGACTCTTGATTTGTGCAGATTTGGACCCACAATTGATGGTCCCTGGAAGCTCTTGTGATCGGTGCATGCACACATCCCAGAGCCAGTGACGTAAACTTGCTCAATTATGCAGAACAGGAGCCGGAGCAAAAGGTCTTAAGATCCAGAAGTTTCAATAAAACATTCTTAATTGTAATAATCATAATACATTTTGGTTCACACAAGTATAACATGTTTTGAGCAGTCACCTATAACATGACACAATGAACTTGATACTGAAAACATACCAGCTGTTCAGTTACATAATATCATTTTTCATCCACACCACTCTATCCCATGACTTCAGTTTAAGCTTCAGCTGCAGATTTTTACAAATTTTACTAATATTAAATGTGAAAACGACATATTTTCACATGTAAAAACGTTAAATTAACATATGCATTAACAGGCATATATGAAATCAACATGTGAAATGTGAGATTCCATGTTTTGTGCATGGACAATGTTGGTTTAGAACATTTTTAAGATGTTCATGTGACAGAAGTCAAACGTGTTGCACACGCCAAATGTGATGATAAATCTGGAAACTGAAACTCTGGCACAACAATTTCCTGCCAGATCAATAAAGTTCTATCTTATTTTATATTAAATCACATCACATGGACAATCTCATGTTAAGCTAGAGAAATTGCATTTCCTGCAAAAATGCAGTGGGAATGCATGTAGCTAGATGATTTTTGCTGAAAGCTGCTGAAGAATCTGAAATCAGACTGAAAAGTTTTCATCGCTGAATTGTTAATGCGAGCTGAGTTTGAGCAGCTGAAATTTGCTGAAAGCAGGAAAACAAAAGCAGAAAACAAGATAAATGTCAGAAATGAGTAAAAAAAATGTTGAATAGAGCAAAATAAGTAGAAGAAGCTGAAGTAAGCTGAGAGAGGCTTAATACATTCCAAAAATGCTAAATTTAGCAACAACAACAAAATAGCTAAAATGCTAACAAAGCTGAGACTAGCTGAAAGTTGACATTCTTAAAAAAAAAGCACAAAATAATGAAATTGGTAAAAAAGAAAAAAAGACTCAAGTTAGCAGAAATTTACAAGAAAAGGAGAGAAAAAATAAAAAACAGCTGGATTTAGCAGGAAAAAAGGTGAAATGAGCTGACAAAAAGAAAAAAAAGTGAAATGAGCAGAAAGAAGCTAAAGTAGCTGAAGGAAGCTGAATTTACCCCAAAGAAGCTGAAAAAGCTGAACTGAGCAGTAAAAGGTTTTAAACGGCACAGAGATTGAAGGATGTGAGAAGAGCAGCTCCACTCATTTTCAAGGAGAAAAAACATGGCCGAAAAAGCTAAATGTTTCAAAAAGTGACAACTGCACATCAATCAAAAGTCATAGCAGGATCGTCCTGAATGAGCTGAAAGTTTTGATACATGAATTGTTGAAACAGCAGTAAAATTGTAGAACAAATTACGTGCCGAAAAATGGATGTCAGTAGTGTGAATGTTTATAAATCATTCATGAGAGTGACAGCCATGTTTTGTGGAAACATTTCATGTCATCAATTTATTTTTTCACATGCAAAAAACATGTTAAATACATGTGTTTGTTTTTTTATAGGAGCGCTGTTGTTGTTTTATACGTGTATTATAGTGATGTCCTGATACCAGTACTGGTATCTGTATCGATTCTAGTGTCTGTGTCAGGTCCAATACCAGCCTCAAATACTCACATCTGTACTTGTAAAATTACCCCAGTACTGTACTTGTAACATACAGATACCTCTTTCATGCTTGGTGACGTAATTTCGTCTTTCACTATGCAAGTAGGTACAAGAAAAGTCCATAGTTTGAAGATATTTTAAGATAAACAGATGTGATGTTTAAACAGCAGACTGTTGTGTTCATAAACTAAATGTGTGTTTAAAGTCATTGTGTCGTGTTTTGGTAGTAACTTATTAACTACTCTGTATCGGTACTCTGTATTGGCAGGTACCCAAACTGAAGCATGTGTACTCTGTCTGGAAAACACTAACATCAGGACACCCCTTGTATATTATTAATAGCAGCAGGTCGTGTTCATGTGACTCAGAATTTATTCCAGTTAACACAAATGTAGATAACTTTTTCTTCTTCTTTGTGACTGCCCTGAAGCAGTCGTTTAAAAATCAAAACGCACCGGTGAAAAAGCTGTCAAAGCCACACAAGAATGATTGTAATCTTGTATTAGGCTGGAGTTTGAGAGCGGTAATTAAATCCCATTATATCACCCAGTGTGCCATCTCTCTTCATCTCCTGCAGTCCAGTTTATCTCACCTCTTGGGAAATTCATATCAGTTCAGCTCTTTCACACGGAGCCAGTAAAGTAAATGAGATCAGCGTGCAGGAGCGATCTCTCTGCTTCAAAAGCCTTTTTTATCAGAGAGCAAAGAGGAAGATTGCTGCTAATTATCCAATCGAGAGGAAGGTGAGGACGTTTGTCTTCATAACATGTCCTTCTTACTGTCATTAAAGACGCACTCAGCATTAACCTGGAAATCACAATCACCTCTCAGCTCCATCAAAACTCATGTTGCATTCAAAATGTGGTCTGACGCATAAAAATTGTGTGTGGGGTTAAAAAAAATGAACTCAGACATTTATCCAGCCTCTACTTTTTTTTATTTATTTGAATGGCAGCTGAGAAAATGACCTCGTTCTGTTTGGTTTCACCCCGCAGTGCTTGAAGTAAAGTCGGCTGTTCCGGTAATCATGGGGTCCAACATTGGGACTTCTGTCACAAACACCATAGTGGCCATGATGCAGGCGGCAGAGAGAAACGACTTTCAGCGGTGAGTGAGCAAATGTGGCAAAGTGTGTCGGGAGCAGAGAAGCAGGGAGGGAGAAGCTGAAATGCACAAGTGATGAATATAAAACATAAAAGATGGAAGGAAGTGAACGCCAAGAAGGCTGATTTAAAAAGAAAACAAAAAAACCTGGCAGCTGCCTGTAAGGCTTTCTTTCTGTAATTTCTCACAAAAAAAAAGCAACAATGATGGCATGAATCCCAGTTAATTCCTTACCAGCAACTATCTGGCCTGGAAAGATAATGTTCTGGACAGATGGCGTGTTTTATCTATTCGTGGTAAAATAATCATTCATCTATCTTTTATAATATGCACATGCTGAATCAAACCACAACTGCTCATTACATCACACTTGTAAAAAAAAAAAAAAAAACGAGCTCAGAAAATCAGAATAAAGAGCAATCCGTCAAAGTAGACGATGATGATCCGGACCGACCTCGGTGAGCACAGTTAATTATTGTGACCAACCGCAGGGCCTTTGCTGGAGCAACGATCCACGACTGCTTCAACTGGCTGTCCGTCCTGGTTCTGTTGCCTCTGGAGGTGGTGAGCGGGATAATGACCCGGCTGTCCCTCCTGATGGTCTCCATATTAAGTCTACAACCCGGGGAGGAAGCACCTGAGCTACTAAAGGTCATCACCGAGCCGCTCACACAGCTCATCATACAGGTACCGCCATCAACGTTTCTGTTTCCTGTTTGATAATTCACTCAACTATCCAGCTCCAGCTCACTTCTCTGGGTGACTCTTTCCAACAAGCTACAATCCCAACTCCAAAAAAGTTGGAACATTGCATAAAATGTAAATAAAATAAAATGAAACAAATGCAAATAGTTTAAAATCTCATAAACCCATATTTATTCACAATGGAACATAGGAGTTATGTCAAATATTTAAACTGTACAATTAAAACATAAGGTAATTTTACATTTCATGGCAGGTACACAAGATAAGAGGGGGACAACAAAATGCTATAAAAAGAGGCGATACAAAGAAACAGCTGGAGGAGAATTTTTAACCTAAGTGGGTTAATTGGCAACAGGTCAGTAAGAGGACTGGGTGAGAAAAGAGCAGTTTATTGAGGCTGAAAATATCAGAAGTAAAAATGGGCAGGGGTGGAACGAGTTCAAAGTAATGTTCCTCAATGGAAAGTTAGAAGAAAACTAATTTGAATATGCCAACATCTACAGTTTATTTAATCAAAAAAACTTTTCAAGAGCAAAGACCAACCAAAAAGTCAATATTAGATACCTGTCATTTTTCTGTCCCTCAGGCAACGCTGCTTTAAAACCAAGTCAAATTATTTTGTAGACATTGCTTCATGGGCTCAGGAACATTTCCACAAATCATAGTCTCTAAACAGAGATTATTGTGCCATCCACAAATGCTGGTAAAAGCTCTATCATGCAAATATAAAACTATATAGGGACACATCACTGTCGTCTTTGGGTCAAATCTTATTAAAATTGACTGAAGCAAAGTGGAAATCTGTTCTATGTTCAGAAACAAACTTTGATATTTGTTTTGGGAAACTAGGGACACCATGTCATTTGTACGACAGAAGGGGTCATCCAGTCTGTTATTAGCACTCAGTTAAAAAACCTGCCTCACTGATGGTATGGAGATGCATTATTCCCTCTGGTATGGGTAACTTACACATCTGAAAAGGCACCAGTTGCACAAAAGTATTTACACAGCAACATATGCTGCACAGCATCTTTTTCAGGGAAGACCTTGCATATTAGAGCTGCTGCCTCTCAGCGAGCTGGTCGCCTCGGTTCAAATCTGAGCCAGGGGGTCTTTCCGGGTGGAGTTTACATGTTCTATCCATGCAAGCGTGGGCTTTCCTCGGGTACTCTGGTTTTTTCAAAAAGGAAGAAGCGGGTGAAGATGATGAATGGATAGATGGATGGACCTTGCATATTCAGCCAGACAATACCAAACATATTTTACAGTGGAGAATATGGACCTGTTCCATCTTTTTGGAGATTAGTTGCCTCCATAAAATAAAAATAAAATGGAAAAAAATATATAAAATCGGTACAGTTTCTCAGTTTACTATGTTGTACAGTAAATGAAACAGGTCTGTGAAATTCATTGCATTCTGGTTACATTTTTCAAAACGTCCCACCTTTTTAAAGAATTGCCATTTTACTCCATGTATTTTCTGAAAATACATCTCCTTTCCCTCCATCAGCTGGACAAATGTGTGATCACAGAGATCGCTCTGGGAAATGAGGCCATGAGGAACAGGAGCCTGGTGAAGGAATGGTGCCGGGCTGACACAGTTTTGGTAATTTCTGCCTCCTCTACATACAGACACAATCTGACACCCTGATGACACTCACTACTTTTTTCTTTATTTCTTTTTAGTCTTTTGGCAACAGTAGCAGTGAAACGAAGTGTGGCCTCAGTCATAATCTGTCTGGGACTTCGTGGGTCAAGTGTGAGTTTTTATAGACTGCTGTCAAAGGGCAAAGGGATAATGGTTTTTCTTGTGTCGGTTAAAATATTTAATGAACCACAGGACAAATTAGAATGAAACTTATAAGACATACATGCACATCTACAACTGATTAATCTTGGGAGCTAGCTCAGCTCAGGATAGTTGCTACATCCAAGTGACATTATAAAACACTTAAAGGGCTATAATTCAGTCAGTTTTTCAGATATTGTGCCAAAGTTTGGCGTAGTTGTAGCTAAGTGGGATTCACAACACGTACTGTAAGTGCTAGTCATTGTGTGAGATTATGGATAAAAAAAAAACCTTTATTTTAGAAAATGTCTTGTTTGTGTTTGACTGGGCTCCGTCTCTCTTTAGGCAGACATCTGTTTGCATCGACAGAGCTGTCAGATCTCACCGTGGGCCTGATTCTCCTGGCAGTGTCGCTGGTTGTCCTCTGCACATGCCTGCTGCTTCTGGTCAAACTCCTCAACTCTCTTCTCAAAGGCCAAATGGCAAAGATCATCTACAAAGTCATCAACACAGGTGGGTGCCACAAATAGGTGGTTTTTACTGTAAAAAAAATGTCCTTTTAATTACAATTATGTTTATGATGATTGGAGATGATTGTGGACTTCAGAAGGAACAAAAACACCTACACCCCCCTGAACATAAGAGGATCTGTGGTGGAAGTGGTCTCCAGCTACAAGTACTTGGGTGTACACATGAATGACAACCTCAGCTGGAGCAACAACACCACCAGCCTGATCAAGAAAGCTCATCAGAGACTCTACTTCCTCAGACGGCTGAGGCGAGCTGGTCTGGGAAGCTCAGTCCTCACCTCCTTCTACAGGTGTGCAGTGGAGAGCATCCTGTGCTCGAGCATCAATGTGTGGCATGGAGGCTGCACAGCTGCAGAAAGAAAAGCTTTGCAGAGAGTGGTGAAGGCTGCACAGAAATCTGTTGGAGTCAGTCTCCCCACCATCACAGACATCTACACCTCCAGATGCAGGAAGAGGGCCACCTGCATCATGAAGGACCCCACCCACCCAGCACACACACTTTTTGCCCCACTCCCCTCAGGAAGGAGGTTAAGGAGCATTAAGTGTAGAACCACTAGACTGAGGAACAGCTTCTACCCTGAGGCTGTTAGACTCATGAATCTCTAACTAGAATAATCACTGTGAAAAACCATATCATGTTGCTGCTGATCTGTTTCATGTTGCTGCTGATCTGTTTCAATGTTGATGTGTTCATGCGTGCACATCTGCTCACAGACTCATGTTCATGTTTGTGCTGATGTTCAATGTTTTATGTTATGAGTGCTTAGTGTATATTTAGTTGATGGTTTTTTTCTTAGTTCATATCTTAGATGTTATTACTGTTTTTCTTAGACATTTTATTGTTGGATGTAACTGGGACCCTGTGTACATAATTTCGCTCCACCACATGTACCACATGAGGTGCGAATGACAATAAAGAAACTCTGACTCTGACTCTGACTCTAAACAACTCAAAAGAAGCAGAATTTAACTTTCTCGGGTAGTAGAACAACAAATTTTCCAGTTTATTGAAACCATGCTAATCAACCCAGCATATAGGCAGATATGAGTGATAACTTGGTTCCTTGTTGCTCTTCTCAACAGATTTACCGTATCCATTTGGGTGGCTGGCGGGATATGTTGCCATGTTTGTGGGTGCAGGGGTAACATTTGTGGTCCAGAGTAGTTCTGTCTTTACTTCAGCCATAACTCCCCTGGTTGGTGAGTAAATGTTTTTACTTCCATATTAGCACTACACCTTGTAAACAATATATATTTATGAGGTAATTGAAACATATTGTGCTTTGGATGTACCGGTTCATAGTGGCAAGTCCTTACTTCTGGTCTTTATACTATGTGTTATACTTTAGTCTGTGACCACATTGTAACATTATAAAATTAGAGGCAATAAAAAAAAATCTTCTTTGGGCTTTTCCATTATCGGGGGTTGTCGCAGCAGGTCCTCGTCCTCCATCTCACTCTGTCCTCTGCATCCTCTGTCCTCATTCCAACTACCTACATGTCCTCTCTAACTGCATCCATATAGCTCCTCTGTCTTTTTACAGGCAGCTGCATTTCTAACATCCTTCTACCAGTATACCCACTGTCCCTCCTCTGGACATGTCCAAACCATCTCAGTCTGACCTCATACTTTATCTCCCAGTTGTTCAACCTGTGCTGTACCATCCTTACCAGACAAATCACTGTAAGGACACTTTAGTTGGACATTTGAAACTTTATCTATGCTACTGCTTATCCATGCTGCTGATTTCTTACCCATAAGTTGCTTTATTCATTCCCATCTACTCACAACTGACTCATGTTCAGGTTGCTGTTTACTACACCTTATTTATTTTATTATTGTTAATGTTTATCTGAGATCCTTGTATCATGTTTATTTTTATTTATACTTTGTATATGTTGCTTTTTTTGAGTGTAACTGAGACCTTGAGAACACAATGTACCTCGTGTGATGCGAATGACAACAAAGTCTCTTTGAAACTTGAACCTTGTCACTCCTAAGGTGAACCTGGACATCTTAATTTCTACATCTTCTAGTTCTTTCTCCTGTATGTTTGTCAGGGCCACTGTCTCCAGACCATACAACATAGCTGGTCTCCTCACTTGATGCAATCCCACCTCCACCTTGAAGCTATCCATCACTCCTACAGTATATCTCACCACTGTCCTGCTGTCCTCATACATGTCCTGTACCCTTCTTTGCCACTCCAGATTTCCTCATGCAATACCACACCTCATCCCTTGGCACTCTGTCATATGCTTTTTCTAAATCCACAAAGATACAATGGAGGTCTTACTGACCCTCTCTGTACTTCTCCATCAGCATTCTCAAAGCAAAGATGACATCTGTGGTGCTCTTTCTTGGCATGAAACCATACTGCTGCTCACAAATAGTCATCTCTCGTCTAAGTCTAGCTTCCACAACTCTCTCCCAGATCTTCATTGTGTGACTCATCAGCTTAATTCCCCTGTAGTTTCTATAACTCGGTACATCACCCTTGTTCTTAAAAATGGGCACCAGCACACTTCTTCTCCATTCCTCAGGCATTTTCTCACCTTCAAATATACCATTGAATATTTGAGTCAAAAACCTCACTGCCATCTCTCCAAGAGATTTCCAAACCTCCATTGGTATGTCATCAGGTTTTACTACCTTCCCCTTCTTCATTCTTTTCAGAGCTTTCCGGACTTCACCCTCATTAATCTTTCCCACTTCCTGGTCCACAGTTTCTATGACCTCTACTCTTCTTTTTTCATTCTCTTTATTCATTAACTCCTCAAAGTACCCCTGCCATCTTCCTGTCACACTCTCCCCACTTGATAGAACATTACCATTCCTATCGTTAACAAGCCTAACCTGCTGCACATCCTTTCCAGCCTCTGATCCCACTGTCTTGCCAATTGGTACAAGTCCTTCTTGCCCTCTATAGTGTCCAGCCTCCATACAACTCATCACATTCATTCAACCTTTATTTAGACCAGTTAATCCCATTGAGCCTCAAGGATTAATTTACAAGAGAGACCTGTATGCCTTCTGCTTTGCCTTTGCCACCTCCCTCTTTGCTCCACATTGCATCTCCTTATATTCTTGTCTATGCACTTCAGTCCTCTCACTGTCATATTTCTTCTTGGCTAACCTCTTTCATTGAATAGCTTCCTGCTCTTCACTATTCTACCACCAGGTTTCTTTATCATCTTTTATCTGTCCAGATGACTCACCAAGTACTTTCCGACCTGTCTCTTTAATTACTAGTAGTCCAGTCCAGAGCCTTTAACAGCTCCTCTCTAAACTCCTCCACCAAAGTCCATGCTCAATAATCCAGGTATAAAATCCAAACATTTTTTGGATGACTCCTCACAACATTCTTCCTTACTCAGCTTTAGTCTTCTTCTCTGATTTTACTCATTTTCTCTTCTTCACAACAACAGTCATTCTACACACAACCATCTGATGCTGTCTGGTCACGCTATTTCATTTGTTGCTTTCCAGAAAATGGACTAAAACGTAAATTTTCCTGTTGATTCATTTGTTATCCAGCCTGAAACACATGAGGACATAAGCCTGCATAAATTTACTGATTGTCTTTTGAAGTTTGTGAGATCATGTTGCATAAACTGTTGGCTAAAGACACCATATAAAATCAGTGATGCCTGTAACGCTGTGATAAATGTGAGATCCGTATAATATTTATTTTCAAACTGGGCTAATTAACCAGGACGAAAATGGAAAATAAACATACCCTTTGCATAAAAAAGGTTGTTTATCAGTGTGCTACTGTGGAATGAAAGCAAACCAGCAAAAAAAAAAAAGACATTTTATGCAGCATGTTTCTCTCATCTCCAACAGGAATTGGTGTCATCAGTCTGGAGCGGGCCTATCCTCTTACTCTTGGCTCCAACATTGGGACCACAGCCACAGCCCTGCTGGCAGCTCTGGCCAGTCCTGGGAACAAACTAGCAGCCTCTGTACAAGTAGGCTAACATTTTATTAGATCTTTGATTGCTTTTTATAAACTGGATTTAACTAAAGGGCCTTCAGCACTATGTTCTGACACTGTTTATCTTCTTTTGGCACGTAGCTTGCTTTGTGTCATCTCATCTTCAATGTCTTTGGCATCCTGCTGTGGTATCCTCTTCCATTCATGCGTCTGCCAATAAGGATGGCTAGTGTCCTGGGTGAGCGCACGGCCAAATACCGCTGGTTTGCTGTGCTCTACCTCCTGCTCTGTTTTCTACTCCTTCCATCGCTGGTTCTGGGCCTCTCTCTGGCCGGCTGGCAGGTGATGGCTGGTGTAGGTGCCCCTTTTTTGGGTGTTTCTGTCTTCATTGTCATGGTGAATGTGATGCAAGCTCACAGTCCCCGTCATCTGCCTACCAAGCTGCGAACCTGGGACTTCCTGCCCAAGTGGATGCACTCTCTCAAACCGCTCGACCGTTTAATCACCAAAGCGACCGTCTGCTGCAGCTTCACTTGTGAAGAGGTTCGGGAGGAAGGAGAAGGAGAAGAGAAGCCCATCTCTACACAGACGTCTGTTCACGTGCAGGACGAGTTGGGAGGTTTTCAAAAGAAGGAACATTTGGCTTATAGCAACCCAGTCCTGGACTGCCTGGAAGAAATCAGACCAGGTGTGCCAGTTTTTAGACTGAAAGGATTAGAGAGGTGCAACAGCACTCCACTGTAGTTGGACTGAAAGTTGTTTTTTTTTATGTTGTATGCACTTTACTTACATTGTTCAAAGGCTACAAGTCAGATATGATTTGGGTTTTATATTTTAAAAGTTTTGTTAAAGAAACAAATCCCCAAATTTATGCTAAAAGCACATAGTCAATATGAAATTTTAGGCAAAGCCTAATGCTCTTTAGAGCTGCCATATAACCACTCCAAATCTAAACTGCCAGCTCCTAACTCTAGACGAGATGGCAGTCTTTCTTCTAGCTAAGACTTTCCAACCATAGCTCCTGGACCTCCTTTTAAAGCATTATGCAGCTCAAAATACTATATGTGTTTAGAATGACGATCAGCTACTAACACGCACAATTTTAGCTCAATATCTGCTAAATGAACTGAGCTGTAGTCACTTTGGTGTTTGTTAAGATCAGTTAGCTCTGGCATCCATCTTGAAGCGGTTCATTGGTTGCAGATGTACAGCCATATCTTCCTGAGAGATCCAATAAAATCCATCCAGTGAGTCTTTAACTGTTTTGCTTAAAGACAGTCAGACACACACGCATGCACACACACACACACACACACACACACACACACACACACACACACACGCGCACACACACACACACACACACACACACACACACATCACCAGCCTTTCATGGCGGCAGGCAATAATAAAAAAAACATTAACTCTGCAGAAGCATGAAAAACTGAACATTCCCCATAAGTCATGTAATTGTTCTTCTAGCTACTTCTTTTTTAACAAGAATTTATTAGTTTAATAAAGAGACATGTGTTTAGTAAGTTTAGTGTTTGAGCCAGCAGAATGGTCAACAACATTTTTGAGCTACTAGACGTAACAAACACTTATTGGTGACAAACATCACTGTTTGAATTGAGTCCAAGTGGACTAACTGGATCATCTCTAATTGATGGTTAACGCTTGCCATCCATCCATCCATCCATCTCTACAGTTTACCAATGCAGCTTCCTTAAGGGCAATAATTCATCATTAATCTCATTTGTGTGTATGACATTCTGATTTAATGAGGAGTATAAAACAACATGAAGCACTATTTGTTCATCTGTAGTTCTGCATCTACGCCTTCGGAAAAGGTAATTAGTTCAAAAAATGTCCTGATGCATGCTCAATAATCCAGGGGATTCTTCTTTGTTGAAATGTTTCATCTTTTATCCAAAAGGAGTGAAGAAGTCTTTTGGATAAAAAAAACAAAATGTTTCAGCAAAGAAGAATTTGTCTAAAGGACCTGACTTAACCTTGTTAGATTAATCACTTAATGTTTTTCTAGTGTACTTAGGAAGTATTTTGCCCAAAGTTTAACAAGCAATTATAAAACTAAAAAAAAAAATCTCCAAACACCAAAGGTAACTCTTAGTGGGGTTACTGGATACCCACTAAGTTTCTCTTTGGGTTTGCAGGCTTGCTCAGTGAGTGAAGACTCTCTTTGGGGAGATGTTGCTGACTGTGTGAAATGTGCTTTGTTCTCTTTTGCAGAGCAGCAACAGATCATGTGTTTAAGTAATAATGACACTCGGGGCTGCAATAGTGTGGAAGTGGAAAAGAAGCCAATGGCACATATACTGTACTGTATATACACCCCTCCAGTTTCAGTGGTGCATACTGGTTCTACCCAGGCGTATTAATATAGGAAAGCATAGAATGTCTTTGTGTTGCAGTCTAACCTGTAGTGGTTGATGATTACCAGGCAGCACCAGCTTCTGGAAAGCTAATATTAGACGTAAACCATCCTAGTGGCACCTGACCACTGGGCAAAATGAATTTCACTTCTACTATAGAGGTGTAGGTGGATTCCACAGCTTGACGGTATGGAATGGAATGAAACATCGCCAAAACATTTCTGTGCCAGAAAGGAGGTCAGTTAGTTTCCCATTCTTGGCTAATCTGAGATCCTGTTCTACCTGGCACCAACATGCATTCTGAGTGATTCAGTCACAAACAGAAAACTCCATGTACAAGTGTTCACACCTGCCGTTAAAATCCATCTGCAGTGATCCGATCTGTTACTCGCTCCATATTCAAATAAACACATAATCATGTCACACAGTGGGCTGAGAGCTGGGCACAACCAGGACGTCGACAGGCCTGAAAACACTTTAAATCACTTGAACTGTATTAGTTCTTGATATTTTCATAAATCTACCATGAGTTACACTTTTGTGCAGTTATTTACCCAACTCTTAATGAGTTTAATCACTGAACAGACACAATATGAAAAATATGAAGGAGCATTAAAGGATTTATGACTTCACAGAGCTCCATGTCAGCACAAAGACACTGAAGATTTTAACCTGCAAAACTCCACAAGTGTTTCAGACATCAGCTGCTTTCTGCACAGCTAAACTGTGGATGTAACATCAGATCTGCACTGTTAGATTAATATTTGTGATAAACATGGCACATTATAAGCTTATTCATTCATTCAACCATTATTTATACAGGTTAGTCTCAATGAGCTAGGAGGAAGAGATGTATGAAGGCAACAGACCAAGAAGTGATTTAAAGATGAAAATGTACCAGTGAGACAGTCTGTGTGATATATAGTGACCATTGCAAGTCCAATCAGCTTTAAAAACAGACAGACTTTAAACTAAACAAGCAGTACAATGTTGCTGAGGGATTTCAATAATGAATGTAGCTTTTGAGATGAGTGTTTTTTTGGACTGGCACTGAATGGGGAATAAGCAGGTAAACTTTAATGTTTTTAGTGCAAGATTTTAAAGTGGTAAGGAGTTACACTGTGTAGAAGAACAGAGGTAGTTTTTATTTTTTCTTGTCCGAGGTGGTGCAGAATGACTGATCCTGGTGAGCAAAGGGAGAAATTTTGTCCACCACCAGGTACAAAGGCAGAGCCAGGGGGTGGCCAATGGTGGCCTTGGCCACCATAAATTAATCTTTGGGTCACTGCACCGGCCACCCAAATCATTTGAGGAAACTATACTTTTAAGCAATATAAAACTAGAAAGCCTAGTTTTCTCTAATACTAGGGGTAGCCAGTTTACATATATTTATGGTGGTGGCCATCTTGGATTTTGACATGGCAATCCCATTTTCAAGAAGATCCTTTCTTATGCAGATGCAGCAACACCACAAAATGTAAGTCAGTACCTCAATTATTTTTCCAGTTATTGCGCTCGCAACATGCACAGATGGACAGGCAGATGGAGGGAATTTCCAATTACTTCTTTTTGCTCCATAAAGGAGGTAAAAAAAAAAAAAAACTCACCACGACACATCCCAGTAACCCACTGATTGGTAAAATCCAGACAATTCATACATCCATCCATCCATTTTCTTTACCCGCTTATTCCATATTGGGTCACGGGGGTCGCTGGTGCCCATGTCCAGCAATCACTGTGCGAGGGGCGGGGTACACCCTGGACGGGTCGCAAGTCCATCACAGGGCCACATAGAGAAAAACGAGACAAACAATCATTCATTCTCTCACTCACACCTAGGGACAATTTAGAGTTACCAATCAGCCTAACATGCATGTTTTTGGACTGTGGGAGGAAACCGGAGCACCTGGAGAAAACCCATGCATGCACAGAGAGAACATGCAAACTCCACCCAGAAAGGCCCCTGGACCGGGGTTTGAACCAAGGACCTGCTCGCTGAGAGGCAGCAGCTCTACCAGTTGCGCCACCGTGCTGCCCACAATTCACACATTTTTATATTTAAAAAAAGGGTTCAGCATATTTCTTTAAAATTGTTAGCCAGTCTTAAGTATATTCTCAAGAATGGCTTATTAATCATCTTATGTTAGGTTGATTTTTTTCCCATTATTTCAGAGACATCCAGGTAATAACATAGCTGCTTAGTAAGTGGTCCTACAGATTAATTTGCATTCAGACAGAATTCAAGACTATCAAGTAGACATCTTCCTTGTGCAATGAGAGCGTTTACATATGTATTTAGTGCCATCCAGATGCAATCAGATCCATCAAGACTGATGTTTAAGACAGGTCTGAACAGGGTCAGTATCAAACTAGTCAAACTCATTTCTTATCCTCTGTAAGCTGTAAAACAGGAGCTAATTCTTTATTTAGCATCTGCTATTGAGCTCAAGGCATTTGTTGGATCAAAAAGCAAACAGCTTTAGCAACATAAAGTATGATAATTTTAGCACAATTTAATACATTTCATTATTAAAATAGTGAAATATTTTCAATCAAATGCAGATTTTGCACTAACCTGTAGTAGCATGAGTTACAAGCCAAACGTAGACGGCAAAACAAGCAGCTGTTGCTGCTGAAATATTGGTTGTTTGGAGCATACCAACTATTACCAGCAGCTGCTGCTACAGAAACTATATGCTGCTAAAATTAATTAATGTCCGCTCACTTAAACGCTTGCATATTCATATATCCAGCCAGTGCGTAATATAAGGGTTGGCATTTCATCACCCACTTCAAAATTGTAGAAACTTTCTTTCTAGAAATCACCTCAGACTAAAATTTTAAAGTGACAGACAAAATAAAAATGTACACTGAAAAGCAACATGAGGAAAGTGTTCATAATATAAGTAACAGTGATCCTTTCTTAGTTGTTCAGACCTGTAAAAACAATCAACCAAACTTACTAAAGTGCTAACAACAAAGTCCATGCTCAACAATCCAGGTATACAATCCAACATTTTTCAGTCAGGTCATCTGGACAGTTTCTTTTTTTGTGCTGAAATGTTTTGCCTTCGATCCAGAAGGCTTCATCAGTCAAGGAAACAACACAAAACTGATTCTTCCCCCAACACTTACTCCAAAGTGGAACAAACCAGTTATGTTGGTGCTAAGATGGTCTCTTTGCCACGCCCCCTCCTCCATTGCCGGCCCTCTTCCTTGTTGACAGTCTTGTCAAACTGGTTGAAAACAACAATGTCCATGCTCAATAATCCAGGTATACAATCCAACATTTTTCAGTCAGGTCATCTGGACATCTAAAGTGCTCTTTGAAAATACTTTCACTTTAGAAGT